GGCTTGCTCGCTGGGCTTCCCGGCGATCCGGCCCGGGCCGACCCGCGGCGGTTCATTGCCCTGTTGGCGACCCAACCCTGCTGCCCTTGCGTCCCCCGTCCTCGGACCCCCATCGCTGTTGGAGCCTGGCCACGGGCCTCCTTCCACCCGACTCTGTGCCCCCTCTTGGGCCTCGTGGCTCCGTCTCCTCCACTTCTGAGAGCCGGGTCTCAGGCCCGGTCCCACACCCCTCTCCTGCTCTGACCTCTTCTGCATCCCTTGCTGGTGTCCCCACGTCCACTGTCCTGTCTGTCTCGGGCCTCCTTGGGGATCTTCCCTGGCCCCCGTTCTCCTTGCCTCCTGCCTCCACTCTCCCGTCCTCACCCTCTCTGTCTTTGCTCTTTTCCCGTCCCTGTCTCCTTCGCCTGTTGCCTGATCCCTCCTAATACTGCGGATCCCATCCTCCTCCTTAGGGTGTTTCTAGGCTTTTTCCGACCCCGAGTCTGCAGTCCCTGTCTGCCTAAGCCTCTCCTACCCTGGCTCCCTCCAGAGCCCCTGTTTTGGCCCCGTCTCTGATTTCCTTTCTATCAGCCCTGTCCCCTGCCTTCCTGTCACCCACCTCTCTTTTCCTCCGGGTTCGGGGAGAAGTGATAGTTGCACACACTACTCTGCTTTCACTTGACCTGCAGTTGAAGTACCTGTGGTGTGGGGTGGGGGGTGTTCAGACCCTTACTGAGTTAAGGGACTGGTAGTCTAAGGTAAATAACAGGTATGTCCCTGGGGGGAAATTGGCTTGACTGTTGCATCAGAGATGATGTCCAATTTGTAGGCCATCCTTCTCATCTCAGCTTTAATGCTTCCCCCTTATGGGTCTCTTGACTTCCAGGAACCCTTGGGGAGAGACTGCACTGAGTTGGGCTTGTGCCAGGGGTAGCTGGAGGCCTCATCCAACTCTTTTCCCCTTCCAGGAAACGGGATTCTGCACCTTCCCACTCTGGATGGATGGAACACATTTAAACCACCATGCCCCAGCCTATCTCTGCCCCCACTCCCACCATCTACCCTGTGTACTGGCTCCAAAACATTTTTTTTTCCTGTTTGAGTTCTGAAATAGATTGCCAGCCTGATAGCCCTGGGGCTGGCAAGCATCTGTCCCTTTTATTACTGGTGACTTGAGCCAGCTACTGATTTTCTCTCACACGTCTTTGACCTACTGAATGTGCCTCTGATGTTGGTCTCTGAACAGGTTCTCTTGGAACCTGGGAGCTCCACTTCCTGTGGCTCCAAGAGAGAGGCTGACACTAAAGTTCTGTTCCCTTTGCCCAGGCACAGTATGAGGTATCAGGTTGATGTCTGCCTGTGCAGGTTGTGGGGCTGCATTCATCAGACCTTGCCAGGAACTGGAATTGTCAGCCTCCAGTCACACAGGTCATTTTCTCTGGGGCCTAGAGAGCCCACCACCTTCGTGGTGAGTCTGGGTGTTTCACCTTCTTGCTAGGCAGAAGGCTCTTTTCATATCCTTCAGCTTGAGCTCCTTTATTTGGCACTGATCCTCTAGAGAGATTTTCAGGAAATAACATATCCTCTGTTTCTGCCTGATCTGATCTCAGAGGATTCCAAAAGCGTGACCCACCCTCACGTTTAGAATGAAGGCCTTTTGTTTCATCTGGTCCGGGTTTCTAGGTCTCCTCTTTTGAGGATCGTGCACTCTGTCTTCGAGCCACATTGGACCAGAGTTGGCAACCTCCAGGAGCTGTGGTGGAGTGCCAACTAAACCAGACTTTACCGTTTTGTAATCCTCTTGTGCACTGACCCTTTTCTGTGAAAGCAGTAGGATCTGTCATTGTGCCAGTCCCCTCTCCATGACCCCGAGTTCCCTCTGCATAGCACTTGGGGGATTTGGGCAGAAGGAACCAGAAGGGTCTCTTGTTCCTCTGTACAGCATCCCCCCAGGGTATCTGTGGGACATTCTGAAGAGATTGAGGCCGAGTGTTGGGCAGTAATTTAGTCAGTCTCTGGCTGCTGGGAGGGTCTTTAGCTGACTCTCCCGAGCAGTCTGCTACCCTCCATGCCTACCCGTTAGTTACTTTTCACAAGGTGGCAGGTGGGGGCTTGAGAACAGGTTAGGCCCGCTGCTAGCAGAGTAGGTTTTGTTCAGCTGCCTTTCTCCTTGCCTCTTCTTGTGTGTCTCAACCTACTCATGAGGAATTGCCCCTACTTGGCCTCGCGGCTCCACCTGTAGTCCCTTGGATACCTTTCCTGAGGGCCTGGGGAGAGGACAGCCAGTGTAGGACACTGGCCTGGGAAGCCTTAGGTCTCTGCTTTGGTCAGCTGAGACAGCTGTCCTGGCTCTTGTGCAAGCTGTCTTCAGGGCCTGAAGATCCTGGTGTGTCCTGGGGCAGTGCAGCTCCTGTCTCTCGGGAGTTGGACCTGTCACTTCTAAAGACTTCAGTTGCATTCTGTCACCGAGGCCCACCTTCCTGGGTGCTCCCTGCAAGCCAGGAAGCTGAACAGTGCTGCCTTCCTTCAGTGCCTCTGTAGGGGCTGCAGTGCCAAGATCCAGCCCCACAGCCCAGAGTAGAAATATTCTCGTCTTCCTTCCTACCTGGTATCTGTCTGGACTTAGTTTGTCCTGCTGGGCCCTTCCTTTTTAAAATTTGAAATTTTTAAATTTTGAGTTGGGGTCTCACTCTGTTGCCCAGGCTGGAGTATAGTAGCATGATCACGGCTTACTGCAGCCTCAACCTCCTGGGCTCAAGCAGTCCTCCTTCCTCAGCATCCCAAGTAGCTGAGACTAAAAGCCTGCACCACTGTATCCAGCTAATTTTTGGATTTTTTTTTTTTGTAGAGATAAGATCACGCTGTATTGCCCAGGCTGGTCTCAAATTCCTGGGCTCAAGGAGTCCTCACACCTTGGCCTCCCAAAGTGCTGGGATTACATAATAATTGTGAGCCACTGCAGCCAGCACAAGCCCTTGCTTTTATCATGTCAGAAGCCCTGTGCCTGATGCCCTTGTCTGTGCCATGTTGTCCCAGATTGCCCAGTATGCTACTTGGAGATGGTTTGATGTCCCTGAGCATTTTTCTCTGCCTTTGGAGCCAGCTTGCAGCAGCTGTATTCCAGGGTGTCAGAGGGGAGCTAGATACTTGCCCTGAGCCTGGCAGGGAGAGAGTGGTACCTTGTATCAGATTTTAGACGTGTGGGTTGTCTCCTTTGGCAGGTGGTTCCTAGCTTTCATAACTCAGCAGGCTAGTGATTGGGATGTGACTCTAGTCCTGCCTCCACAGAGCTTTGGTCAAGGAATCAAGCATGACTCAGGGTGTCTTCATTTATGAGCTGCCACCCATGGAGGGTGTTGGGCGCCAGGGCCTTCCTTACCTGCCAGCTCCTTCTGCCGCACCCTGGTAAAATTTGCAAAGCCCATGTCTGCTTGCTTGGGAGTGAGCAGACTACTTCCAGGATTGGGAAATATTTGCTGACTCAAGCTCAGAATAACAACATCGCAGGGTGGATGTGTGAGGGACAGGTGAGGAGCCAGATTGTCTTGGGAGTAGTCTTTGAGCTCTGGTGTTGAATTATATATAACCTACTAGAGTGGCTTTCTGGACCCCTGGTGCTTCTCAGCTGAAGATGTTGGGTTTCTTTCTGTCCTGCAGTGTTGCTTGGTGTTTGGGGCATGCACACAGTACTCACGCAGAGCCTCCTGCTCACCAACAGATGAAGACAGATGCACCAAAGAGGTAATCCCCTTTCCTTTGCTCAGGGGTCTCTGGCAGCCGACTGACATAGCATCCAGATTTAGGATCCTGGCCTGGAAGAGAAAATCACTTCATCGGGGTTGAGTCCCAGATCCCAGACACCTGTCACAGCATCTGGTACCCATCATTTGTGTATAGTATGGACACTTAAGTCATTATTGAATGTCTATGGCTTAAGCAGTTTTTTCAGGCACATGGAGAGTCTCATTCTTATACCCACTAAAACATAAACTTCTCAAGGGCAGGGCTTACTTTGCTTCCTATGTGTCTAGGACAGTGCCTGGCACCAGAGGAAATGCTGACTAAATATTTGCTGATTGAACACATGAATAGACTTTCTTCTTTGCTCATATGGGTGCCTAGGATGCCATGCTATAAAGATGGTGTCCACGATTCTCTCTTATTTAGGGAACAGATATTTCCGAGCACCAATAATGTTCCAGGCTTTTAAGAAATGATGATAGTAAAAAAAAGATTTAGTCCCCGCCTCATGGGTCTGTGGTTTGCTGGCATAGATGAGAGCCAGGTATGACACAGTATTGTTTCTTCCTTCTCTGCTGGAGCAGGGGGTCCTCCCCAGAGTCTGAACAATGCTGTGGGTTTCCCATTGCTGCTGCTCTGTTCTCAGGATGCCTGGCAGGTTTTAGAAACTCTCAGAAGGGGAGCTCCAGGGAATTTGACGTTCATTGTCCTGACTATCTGGGAGGCTAGGTTATGGAGGGTCCCTGCTGGGGGCCAGGGGAAGCACAAGCATTCTGTCTGATTTGTTTTCATCTCTGAAGTTCGGTGGTTCCAAAGCTGTTGTGGGCTTCACTTCCCTTCCTCTGCCTTTAACACCCTATGGGCTTTCCTGTTGCCACACAGGGTGGTGAGCCCCCGTGTCTGTCAGTCCATGGGGGCCAGGTTATTTGTGGATCTTCAGGAAGGTCTTGGGCAAGGGCCCCTCCTGTCCTCAAAGCCACACCAAGTGCTTTCCTCTGAAGGGAATACGAGGGAGGAAGAAGGGGGGCCAGGAGGCTTCTGAGGCTCCCTGAGAGGGGATGAGGGTGGAAGTTCCCCGCGAGCCGGGAGAGTGCTGAGTTGAATGGGTTTGCTTTGTCATTTGCTTCAGCAGCAGCTAGCCACAGTGGCAGCTATTGTACGTGTCCAGGGGTCAGATGTCCAGTTCATCCGTGAGCTTTGAGCTGCCAGTCCCAGCCAGTTGTGTTCTCTCTTTATTATTTCTTTTTGAGATGGGGTCTTGCTATATCCCCCAGGCGATCCTCCCTCCTCAGCCTCCCAAGCAGCTGAAGTTTTCTTTCTTACTTTCCTCTGGCAAAGGTGAGACTGTGGCTTTATCATGTTTTTCAGTGTTAATCTCACAAATCTGTGGTAGGTGTCATCTTAAGTCTGTCCACTTCCATGGGCCAGGTGCTATGACTGATGTTTCAGACATTCAGATGTGGTCCTTGGCTGCTCCCTGCTCCAGATGTAGGGAACTTTGCTGTGGAGAGAAGACATATGCGAAAAATATTTTCTTAAATATTAGAGAACAGTTGGGTACTAAAAACATGGTACCGCACAAGGATACCTGTTTACAGGAGCACATCATCAATGAGGGCTGGGTTTGTCCCTAAAGAAACTGGGTCTCGGCTGGGCTTGGTGGCTCAGCCTGTAATTCCAGTACTTTGGGAAGCCGAGGCAAGTGGATTACCTGATCCCACGGGTTCGAGACCAGCAACTTGGCAAGACCTTGCCTCTACAATAAAATAAAATTTAAAAATAGCCAGGTGTGGTAGCACATGTCTGTAGTTCCGGCTACTTGGAAGGCTGAGGCAAAAGGATCACCAGAGCCCAGCAGGTCAGTGCTGGGGTGGCCATGAGTGTGCGTGCCGCTGCACTCCAGCCTGGGCAATGGAGTGAGACTCCAACTCAAAAAAAAAAAAAAAAAGAAAGAAAGAAAGATGGTTTATTTTGAAGTCAAGTTTAGAATATTATGAAACAGTGATTCTCAAACTTTTTGGCTTCAGGACTCCTTTACATTCTTAAAAATTGAGAACCCCAAGTGCTTGTGCTTACCATATTAGAAATTAAAACTGAGAGATTTAAAAGATTACTAATTTAAAAATTTATTTAATATAATAATAAGCCCATTACATGTTATCATAAATTACATTTTTTTTTTTTTGAGTTGGAGTCTCACTCTGTCGCCTTGCCTGGAGTGCAGTGACACGCTCAGTCACCCCAGCATCGACCTACTGGGCTCTGGTGATCCTTCTGCCTCAGTCTTCTAAGTAGCTGGAAGCACAGGCACGTGCCACCATGCCTGACTAATTTTTTTGATTTATTGTAGAGATGATGTCTTGCCAAGTTGCCCAGTCTGGTTTCAAATCCCTGGACTCAGGCAGTCATCTCGCCTCCACCTTCCAAAGTGCCGGAATTATAGGCGTGAGCCATTGCACCCGGCCTAAGTGGTATTTTTAAAATATTCATTGTAATGCGGAATCTGAAACTTTATCGGCAAAATTTTCATACTTTGTGACATTCAAATCCATTGGTTTATCTTGCTTTTTTTTTTTTCCAAGAGACTGGCATCTTGCTCTGTTGCTAAGGCTGGAGTGTAGTGTTATAATCATAGCTCACTGTAGTCTCAAACTCCTGAGCTCAAGTGATCCTCCCACCTCAGCCCCCAAGTAGCTTGGACTATAGGCCACCATGCTCAGCTAACTTTTTTTTTTGTGGTTGAGACAGGGTCTTGCTATGTTGCCCAGGTTGGTCTCAAACTCATGGAGTCAAGTGATCCTCCTGCCTTAGTCTCCTAAAGCACTGGGATTGTAGGTGTGAGCCCCTGCAACTGGCCTATCTTGCACTTTGAATGGATCTTTTACTTTAGTCATTGGGAAATACTGTTTGACTGAGTTGCATTAATCTTCCAAATGTTGACACATTTCATTTTATGGTAACAAAAAGTATTCATTAATATCACTGCTGGTCTATCAGAAAAAATTTCAAGTACTGGGAAACTGTCAAGCTCATGGTGATGGAGATAAGTTTTCCTTAATTTTAATTTTTTTTTGAGAGCTTGATTTTCAGCATTGGTGATGTATTACCAGTTCTTTTTTTTTTTTTTTTTTTTTAAGTGACAGTCTCACGTCATTTATTTTCAAGAAAAAGTTTCTCAAATACTGAAGTCTAGATAATCATAATTTGCATGTTAATCTTTCAGTAAAAATGGTGTTTTGTGAAAAAAAGTGGCTAGTTTAGCTTGCAATTTCTTTGCACAACTGCTTTTTCTTGAGAAACAATTGTGTAACTCCTTTTTTGTTACAGGGGTATTTAAAAGACATGTATCAAAGGTCAAGATTTATTCCACTTAGTTTTTATTTGTTTATCTAGGACATTCTTGTTTTGTTTTGTTTTTTTGAGTTGGAGTCTCACTCTGTCGCCCAGACTGGAGTGCAGTGGCAGCTC